CCCCAGGGAGGAGGTCACATATAGTTCCTTGTCATCGGTTCCTTCTTTCCAACCCACTCTCCCTCTACCCTCCCTGTTTTGCCTCTCACAGAGGGTGTAAATCTTTACGGGAGTAGAAAGCCACCTCTTTCTCTGGCAGAGCAGCTAGTGGGTTCACACGGCTGACCTCATGGTTAGCAGACCAGCTTGTCACCCACGACGCCACCAGGGCTCCTATTGCTCCCAAACGAGCTTCAAATCCAAATGCAAGGAGGTTGTCTTTCAAACGGTAGCACTCTGCAAACTAAGCGAGACAACGTCTATGTATCAGCTGCACCAAAAATCAAGGGCAAAATAAACGAGCGTTTGTTTCTATTGGTGTGAAACGTCACAACTTGTAAATCACGGTTGTGTGTTTTAAGTCTCTTCCAGCTCCCCAAAGTGATGGATCTTTGTACATTGGAAATAGAATTCTCACACTTCCTGGGAACAGTTGGTTGGAATTGAATTTCGATTCAATTAACAAAATCAATGCAGTTCAATTAGTGGGGTCTCACAAGTGTACTTCCAGTGTGTGGGAACAGAGCAGCAAGGAGCTGGGGGTCACTAAAACTGACCGGACGGGGGATAAGAATGTAATGTACAGCTCAAAGCAAGCACCTCTCAGGTTATATGCTGTCAGCATTCTCTGTGTCTTCTAACTCATTCAGCAAATAAAAATGGCGTGATATTTTTTTCTTTAAAGATGGCACCCTGCAGCAATCTGTAGCTCTAACAATAAATATAATCATCAGAGAGGAGATAAAACTATACAAATTGATTTATCTACAGTGTAAGGAAACCCAAGGGGGGGTGTAAAAAGTTGGGGGGGGGACAAACTTTGAGACCAGCAGCCCCAAACCTTTCTGACTCAGTCACTGACTGCCGACTCTTCTTTTACCCACCCCTGACTCTACTGCAGGACCAGTCAGAGGAGGCCAGATGCGCTCCTCAAAACACCCTGTTCCTGGTGAATCTGCATCTAGCCAGTCAGTTCCAACTCCTAACAACCCAACGGACAATAGAAGGAAATACTGCCCGGTCCTCCGCCGTCCTCACGATGGTTCTTCTGGGCCCATTGTTGCAGCCACTGTGTCACGGTATCTTGCCGGGGGCCTTCCTCTGTTTCACTGTACTCTACCAAACACGGTGTCTTTTTCCCAGGACAGATCTCTCCTGATAACATGTCCCATGCGAGAGAGGAAGTCTCACCATCCCTGCCTCTGAGCACTCTGGCTTGTTCCTCCTAGGTGAAGACAAAGGAGAGAGCGAGGAGGAACAGAGTGTATTGAAGTGGGGTGGGAAAACACAGGGTGTGGAGCCCTGGTGGCTCAGAGGTAGAAGTCTCCACTGCCCTGTGAGTGACCGGGACTGGATTCATGGCCAATGCACTTCAAGCACAGCCGCTGTAATCAGAGGCTTGTAGGGTGCTATGAGGCCGAACAGGTTTCAGCAGCACTTCCAGACTAACATTAGGAAGAAAGGCCTGGTGATCTAGTTCTGAAAGTCAGCCAATGAGAGCTCTATAGATCACAACAGTCCAATCTACAACCAATCACAGGGTTGTTACAGGAGGACGCAGTCTTTCCCAGGGGGACCCGAGTGTCTGGCCTTCAAGGAACAAGAACCAAGATGAGAAGAAAGCAGGAGAGAGTAGGGGGCTGTGGGTGGGTGGGGGCTCAGAGAGCTGGAAATGGCTAAATGGAAGGTTACAGAAGTTCAAATAACAATCAATGTATCACAAAGTCTGCGGCATTTTCCAGAGGCAGTGAGGCTGAAATAGGAAGAGGCCCTTCTATTTTCTTAGGAAGAGAACACAGACGGGAGGTGGGAGCAGAATGGCAGTCTTTTTCCAAACAAAGGGAGAGTCTGTGGCCTCTCAAACGGTCCCACCCCGTGCTAAGAGGCTGGTGAACTGTTCACATCAAACCACGGTTTCAGACTCTCACGATGGATATGAACCCCCTCTAGTTAGCAGAGGGAGGGGGTGGGGGGCTGCAAAGTTGGGGTTCAGGCCAAAGCACAGGGGAGGTAGCACAGGAGGGGTTAGAGAAGAGAGGTCTGTTTGGGTAGAAAGGATGTAATACAACCTTGGGTTTACCGATGCTCAGGAGATGGTAGTAAGATGAAGTGACTGAGAAATATCCTGGGAAGAGAAACATGTGTTTGAAAAACCCATTCACCCACCGCACAAACGTTACATTGAGTTTTCTCTGTACCAGGAACCGTGGATACACCAGTGGACAAAATAGGGCACTCCACCCCCGACCCCCCTCTCCCCCCCACTCCTTCAGCTGACATTCCAGTGTGCTTGGTGGTGGGGTAGTGGAAGAGGAACTTTAGCGTTAGGAGGAAAAGGGCATGCGTGTTTGCATGCGTGGTGATGGTTGCAATTTTAAACAACCTTAAGAGGAAGAAAGAGGTCAAGTGTGGCCTGTCAAGTTACAATGTGGAACCGCGGGTGTCCCAGGCAGTGATGGTCCACGTTGTGCCTTCCAGAAGTTGGGGTCTCACAGGGCAGTTTAGAAGGGTGAGAGGGGCGGGAGCCAGATACCCTTTTTCACTCCTTGCTGTGGCGGAGTGGCTACGTGTGGGGCTGCCAACTGCAAGGTGAGCCGCTGTGTGGGAGTAAGTCTGGTGTTTCTATTGCTTTAAAGTAAATTTGGAAACTCACAGGGAAGGTTCTACCCTGTCCGATAGGATCCCTAAGAGTCAGCATGGACTCGAATGACAGAATTATTATTATTTTGTAAAATCATGCTTAGCACTCTCTCCTTCGGGCTGAAAACTGCAAGGTCAGCAACTTGTGTGCGGGACAGGAGACATGCGGCGCTCTGCTTCTGCCTTGGCCATCCAATGAGTCAGTTCTGCTCTACCCTATGGGGGTCGTTAGGAATAGGGGGTGAATCTAAGGCAAAGTTTCTTTTCTCTTTGCATTAGGTTTACACGAAGGTGTGTCAGGATCGTGACTTAAAAGACTTTTTGGAAGAAGCATCAGCGAACGAAAATTGACCTGTAATGAAAATATCACAGAAATGAACTTCTGACCTGAGTAATAAGGCCCACGATCACTTGAGTTAATACATGAACACCGATAATAACCGAAGTCCCAGTAGCCCCCAGGCCCTTTGCACCGCGGCGCGCGGCGAAGGGGGGGTCAGCGCGCAGCCTCCCCTGGCGGCTGCCCCCGGGAGAGGAGAAAACTCGCGGCTCCTTCCAGGGCGCACCTCGCGCGGACTGGCGGGCGGCTCTGCGGGGGCGGGGCCCGTGCGGGAGCGGCGCGGGGCGGGGACTGGGCGGGGCTTGTCTGGGCCCCGCCCCGGCCGGAGTCTTGAGCTGGCGGGTGGAGAGCGCTGAGAGCTAGTTAAAGAGGCGCTCGGCGGCTGGCGCGAAGCAGAGGGCTGGAGGTGCGCGCGGAGCCGCAGCTCACGTGTCTGCCCCAAGTTGAGTTCTTGGCTTTCCCTGCTGCCTGCGCTCCCGCCCGGTCCAAGACGCCCTCTTGGTCTCTTTCGTGCCCTGCTAGCCCTGGCCCACCTTAGCTGGGCACCGCGCACTTCTCCGCGTTCGCAGTGTGCCAACTTGCCTGAGCCACTTTGTCCGCGAGCGGCGCGGGAGGGGGGGGGGGGGGGGGCGGGGCACTGCGCATGCGGAGCTCCAAATTCAAACAGCTGTTTGTAGAGGCTGAAGTGGTGGGGGCACTCGGACCTGCCAAGGCTGGGGTGGGCTTTCTTCGAGGGGCGGCTGCTCGGGAGCCATGGTGGACCGCGGCCCTCTGCTCACCTCCGCCATCATCTTCTACCTGTCCATCGGGGCAGCGATCTTCGAGGTGCTGGAGGAGCCGCACTGGAAGGAGGCCAAGAAAAACTACTACACGCAGAAGCTGCAGCTGCTGGAGAAGTTTCCGTGCCTGGGCCAGGAGGGCCTACAGAAGATCCTGCAGGTGAGCCGTCGCCTGTACCCCTTATTATATCTTGCCTGGAGCTGGCTGGAGTCTAGGCGCGCGGAAGGGAAGCTCTCCTTAGCTTTTGGTGGCCCCCAGACCCAGTGGGAGGCCCTGGGGTGACGGAGAGCGGTGTCCTATCCTGAGTCAAGCTTCGGGGATCCAACCTCCTGGATACACTTAAGGGTCACCACACGTGGGAGACTCGTTGGAACCCGGCTTGTCCGGAGACAACTTGGAGTTGACCCCAGGTGAACTGAGCCCGGCCTCCGCCGTCCCTCGGTATGGTTGTGTGGGTACCTCCCTACTTGGAAAGAGGCTGTAGGGCGGATAAAGGCGTTTATCTTTCTTTGGAGAGGCTCCCGGAGTCCGGGGGCCTAGCCTAGCCTAGCGGGTTGCAATTCCCTCCAGTCTCCAGCTCCTGGGCCAATGCTACTCCCGCGCGGATTTTCTTCTGGAATTTTGACCCCTTCTGAGCTGCAGGAGGGTCTCTCAACGTCCCCTGCCCACAAAGCCCAGGATGGGAGGGAGGGTGTGTTGGGGTGTGTGTGTGTGTGACTGCGTGAGTCCTGGGATAAGGGCTGCTGGCTGGAAGGCTGGGACGCGCTCAAGGTTCCGAAAAGGCTTATCTTGCCGAGACGTCCCGGCTTGGAGTTAAACTTCCGTAAAAGTAGCCAGTTAAACAAACGGACTTTTCTAGGGAAGCAGGAAGAAAGGGGGTGCGAATGGGCCATGGTGTAGGGGAGTGTCTCGTCCTCGTTGGCATTGGAGCCTTTATCTCTTAAGGGCGCGCGCGTCCTATCCGTGGCATTGACCTCACTCAGATAAGCTGTGGGCTGACCTTGTGGTTCCAACTGTGTGCATGCCCGGGACCTTTACCCTCTCATTTTCTTCTCCACCTGCCTCTTCAAATGGGAACCGCCAGGACCTGAATGCCAGGGCTCTAGACGATTGAGCATGGGGTAGGGAGGGGGCTGTCAGGGACCCTGGTGGAGCCTGGATAAATGGTCCATGGTTTTACGTTTCTCTCTTAGGATGAAAGATGCCAGATGCCAGAAAGAAAGATGTGCAAAGGAGCAGCATTTAATCTACAGCAGCTCTCAGTATCTTATGCTGTGTCTAGCTGCACCCCCCCCTTTTCTTTGGCCTCAGTTTTCCCATATGTAAAATGGGAATTAACCCATGGGAATTTACTTAGTTCATCCCATTTCCCATCCCACCTACACTGCTGTGAGGTTGAAAGCAGAAGCCAGAAGGCTCTTAGCAGTAAAAACCCACTATGGTCATATGGGTTCCCATTCCTGGGACCCCTGTGTGGGGCAGAGTAGAACTGGACCCTAGGGTCTCAGGACCCCTGTGTGGGTCAGAGTAGAACTGGACCCTAGGGTCTCCAGGGGCTAGGGTTTTCAGAAGTAGATCACCAGGTCTTGAAGGCCTCTGGGTGGGCTCAAATCGCCAACCTTTCTACCCCCATGGCCTTGAGTTGTTGGACATTCACACTGTTGAGTTTATAGGTGCTCACCAGGCCGACCAGCTTAAGAGACTTGCCCTGTAACGCGACCCATGAGGAAAGTTCAGAGACCAGGTTGTGTTGTGGGACTGCCTGGAGGCCAGGAGAACCTGTCAGCAGAGCCACAAACAGGCAGGGTTGACTCCAGAAATTCCAAGTTTATTCCTTCAAGCCTTTGCAGAAGAAGGGCAATGGCCAGGGTTCTCTGAGCGGTTTCCTTCTCTATGGGGGGGCTAGGTTTCAGTGGGGGAGCGTCACCTGCTGGATAGCTATTTCCAGGTGAGGGCTGTTGGGAGGATGAGCTTTAACTAAAAGTTGGCTGGTTTAGGATCTGAGAGGGCCGGGTGGGGTTGGCGTGATGTAGGCTCCTTCTGGATCCCAGTGTGGTCTGGAGAGAGAGAGTTGGGGGGAGGGGGTCACTTTATAATTTCCCTTGAGGAAACAATTCCTCCAGAGAGAGAATTTTGTTTGGTTTGCTCCAAGCCTTTGTTTTGAGGGGGCTGGGGGGGGGGGGGGGGGTACAGGCCAGGCGGAGATGATAAAGCCTTGCTGCCTTCGAAGTGTTTCCCCTCTTCCCTGCTCCTCCGCCACAGCAGGGGAAGGAAGGAAAGAATCCAAGGCTAAATGTGGGAAAATAAACTTCAAAACACGAGGCGAAGGGAAAGGGGGAGGGGGTGGGGAGCGAAGGGGGGAGCTGCAAGCCAGCCGGGTGCAGCTGCTGATGGCCGCCCGCTCTGGAGGCTAGATGGCTTCCGTAAGGAACAAAGAAGGCGCCTCTTATTTCTGAGGCCCCTGCAGTCCAGTCCACACACGGCTGCCCTCCGAGAAAGCAGGCAGGTAACTTTAGGAGTAGAGACTTTTGGCACCCGGCCAGTGTGATTTGGAGCCCCATTACAAACACGAGTTCTTGGACACAGGCAATTCCATCCCCGTTCCCAGCCAAAACAAAAACCAAAACCCC